GATCTTCGCGCCCGACCGCGACTGATCTCGCAATTCGGAGGGAGGATCGTCCGATGAGCATATTTGATCGTTCTCGACATTAATTAGTTCACCGATCGGTTCCTTCGTCGATTTTTCGATATCGGCGATAGGTGAACGCGAGCCGCTCCTCCTCTAATGAATTTATGGTTACTCGCGGAGAAAATTGGCCGAGGAAGGAAGTAAGTCGTGCTTTTCTATTTTGTCCCTTCGCGGAGAATCGTCAATAAGGGTGGAGATAGAGCGGAGGCAAGCCCCTTCTTAAAATAATGCGTGGTTGCGTTCCGTCCTTTAGACGGCAAGCCTCTAATTTCCAGAGCGATCATTCGGCATCGAACCTCTTGCATTCATTAAGAATTCACCGGGAGGTACGGATTAAGGACCCTCACAGACGCGAACATCTGGTATCTCCTTGCGGGGATGGAGCTCGAATTGCTTGACAGAGAAGTCAGGGAAAGGAAAGGTTGAGGGAAATCTCGCGTAATCACGGAGATGAGAAGGGCGCGTGAACGGGAAAAAAGGGAAAGGAATCGACGAGGAGAGGGAGAGACAGAGAGAGAGAGAGGGAGAGAGAGACGGTAGATCGTCCGCTTAGCGATGGAAAATATCATATTTACAATCAATCAATACCTGCTTCTACCATCATGTTTAAATCTAATTGACGATTATCTCAATGAAATTGACCAATCGCATTCGCCAATTAGCTGAATCGATCAATACGATTGGTCAATCCCGTTGAGTTAATCGTCGATCAGATTTAAATCATGATGGGAACAGACACGAGATGTACACTTTCGCTTTCAGTCTTTCGTTTGTTGATTTAGATTCTAATAATTCCATTAGTCTCGTTATTTACTATTTTTTGAAAAATGAACACGGAACGTCTCCGGACGAGGTAAACATCAACTAACGGTAACATTACACCAATGTTATAATTTCCCCCTTAATAATGCAAGTGTGATATAACATATATTTAATTGTTATGCGGTTGAATAAGAAATTATAACATTGAAATAATGTTACCGTCAGCCGGTGTTTACCGGGAAGCACCTTTTTTCTCATCCCGCATCTCGACCGTACCTCAGCCCGACCGCTTCCCCGAGAAGTTACCTTCAACATCTAATCAATTACCCTTACTTCCATCGATCCGCGATAAACTGAGTTTTAATTACTCGGGACTGCGGGCTACGTCCAAGCAGTAGCATTAAGCAACAGCTTCTTTGCGAACGCCGAGCGTCTCAAAGAGTATGCCTCTCACGATCGCCGTAAGTGGAAGATCGCGCGATGCGTGACGCTCGCTAATTATAAGGCGACGTGCCTTGCTTTTTCGATAAGATTGAGGATCTCCATAAAGAGAGCAGTGGGATATCGATTACCCACTGTCCATCGATAATCTCGATCGGGAGCCTCCGCGAACACCTGGCACCGTCGGCGGAACACGCGGGAGAGGATCGATCAACAGTTGGAAGGAAGAGGGGGNGGGGGGGGGGAGAGAGAATGATGGTTAAGTTTGCAGGCGGAGGATGAAGCGGGGAACGAAGGTCACGTAAGAGGGGCAGTTGATCGTCTTTTATGTAGATGAAAGAGAGCGATAAGGCGGTGCGCGCGGACGCGCATGCACGCGAGAAAGAATGAGAGAAACGCCTCCTACCGGAACCAAAAAGTCTCCCCCGAGTAATTGCGCCGCATCGGCCGGCCGGCTCTCGTACCTATAGGCGGTTGCGCGCAAGGAATGCATCCTCCTGTACTGCGAAGAAGGGCGAAGTTGCGCGGTCCGCTCTCGTCGCCCGGAGATACGTCCCTCGAACATGCGAAGACATTGAATACGATCGCGAGATTACCCGTGCCGATTTCCCTGCGCCTCCTGTCATATTGATGGCGCCCATTAGGGCGGGAATTACGCTCCAAGATAAATTAGCACTACGTACGCGGAATATTGAAGAGCGAGTGCTCCGGTAGGAGCCTCGCGGAGACGTCGCGAGAATGGTGGAAAGTTGAACTCGCCGGGTTGCGTTGGTGAGTATTTCCCCATTTTTAGCCGCTTTTCAATTTTTTATTTACTAATTTTAATGAATTAATTCAAAAGGTGAGGCACTGAATTAAAGAAGTGTGTTTTGCAAGGTTATTTTCCACCCCCACTGATCCCTGGGAGGTGACGAATTTACTGTTCCCTCGACAGTGATTGAGTCCTCGATTTTTCCCCAATTTTTTGTCGAACGCTTATAGGCATTCAACCGGCATTTTTTTAGTTTACGTACGCCAGATCTCCGGAAGGGGATGCTGGAAGATCGCATTTTGCTCTCCGGGTTTTCACTTGAGCGATCTCTTCCGCGAAGAATTCCGCGATGAGCGCGGCAAAAGGATCGAAACGAGCGCTCGATTGCCGCTTGATCGCGGCCAGTGCGTTAATCACGTAGATCGTCGGCGGATAACGCGTGTTTACAAAGGTACGCTGCGCGCCATAGGTGCCGCTGCGGAAGGTTTGTGGGAAAAACTTGATCCCACTTCCGTCGTTCCGTGGCCCCGCCGAGGAGAACGCGCGCTTTAATAAAATCGCGCGTACAAGCGCAAGCCGCCTTTTCTTACTCGCGCTTCCACTTATTTCTTTCGTTACGTATATGCGGCCTCGCGCCGACGCTTTCGTGCCGTCACGCTGGCTTTAATTGACCATCGGTCAATTAATAGCATCCGGAATTTATGCGCTTACGTGGAAGGAAAAAGAAAGGCCGCGCCGTTTTTTCGACCCGGCTCATGTTACCGCGCGCGATTTCCAAGTCGAAAGGATTGTGCAACGCCCAATCCTCCGTTAGATCACGAGAATTATTCGTCCTTGTCTGCATTCACTCGGCACACACGCACTTCCTCGATTTGCTGCATTACGGGAATGCTGATAGCTCAATTGAAAGCCTCAAATTAAAACGTTCGCCCGAAGCGGCTGCTTTAAAGCAGCTGCTAAAATTAAATAAAGGATAAGGATTCGTTATTTCATCGTTTCATTGAGATGTACATTACATCCGATGTTCCATCGACTGAGATTTAATCATCTGCTCCCGCGTTATCTGCTTACATTCTATGTCCTGGTCTCTAAACGCTGTCGCGCGCGCTGTGATTACGCGTTCGCGACACGCTCGGTAATTTTCGCGAAACGTGAGCAGCCTCGCTTTTACGGCGGCGCGCGTTTCCTCGAGCGCGGAGTATCTTTCCTTCTCTCGGCGGCGTCGTCCAGAGCGCGAGAGGGGCTTAATTATAGTCCGCAGGACAATAATAACCGGGAGAGGATGCGTTTCATTCTCCGTGTGCGCGCATCATCTCGCCTGCCAGAAACCTTTCGACCGGCTTTTCAAATCGCTACCTACAATGTTGCACGGCTCATCGGACGAAGGGGGTGTTCGCGGTTTAACGAGTCGCACAAAGGATACATGCGTACACATACGTATACAGGCACAATGCTTCTCGTTAATGATCACCGCGACTTGAACGTGAGAGAGCTTTGATCGCGGCTCGGCCATCGTTGTGCTGCGAATCATGCGTGAAGTAATTTATGATAACGCTTTTTGCGCGAACATTGATGCTAACGAGAGATAGAGAGAGAGAGAGAGAGAGAGAGAGAGAGGAGGAGAGAGTGAGAAAGGAAGAGTGAGGGGAATAGAGAAGAAATGAAAGAAAAAAGTCGCCGGAGGTTGCACTGATTGGCCGGTCGCAATTTACTGCTACACTTCCGCCTGTAACATGTCAATATTTTTCGCATGATCAACATGCTGTGAAACGCACAGACTGGTATGAACGTTCTTCGGATTTTCTTCAGAAACTTGTTTTATTTAAAACAACCGAAATCTTCCAAAGAAATCTGTCTTTTCTCTTCAGTCTTTCTGAAATAAACGAATTCTTGATTTCTGAATAAAAAGATTGCCTCACCTACGTACATCAGTCGTTCAAATTTTTTTGGATTTAGGAAAACCGATTGAAGGTATGATAAAAATCATACGTAATTACACGAATACATGAATCTTTTTGCGCGCTGGTCGAACGCGGAATATAAATTACACGTTTTATATATATGAAGAAAAGAAGGAAATGATAGTATTACTCGTTCCGGGTTCGCAGGTGATCCCACCTGTCATCGTCGCACCTGTCCCCCGGGGACTACTTAGTGGTAACGTTAATGACCTTTCACGGGCTGCTGAATGCATGACATGTGGGTGGTAGAGCACAAATTTAGTTACCGTTTTGTGTACCATAACTCTCTGCATCGCCGAGACGCAAACATCGTGCTTGTCGGATATGCTTCTTTTAACGTGCGTGTCGCTCAAAGAATAAATGTTAGACGTACCTTATTTACAATCGTACAATTTTTTACTGTGTGTATAATATGTAGAGTAATTTATCTCTAATAATTAATCTCGATATGCTCGAATACAAAACAGTAATTTCAGTATAACCGGTTAATAATGTATCATCAATTAATTGATTTATAATAATTATAAACTAATTAAAAATAAATGAAACAATCGAGCGTAGTCTACGGTGCATTGACTGAAGCACACGCAGCTGTACGATGCGAACGATGCATCATTCAGACGCCTATACAAAACCCACGACGAACTTGGATTTCCGGCCTGAAGGTCGTTCCTGGCATACAAATTAATTGGGGAATCCGCTATAGCGCTGGTTTTAAGATCGTTCACACGACCCTGTGTTCGTTACATCCCCGATTAATTATTCATAAATTCTACTTTACTTCCCTCGGTGAATATTGACCTCGATCGACAGTCCTTGCTTTAATTACTTGACGAAGAGGGTTACTTAAGAATTTCATATTTCACACGAGAGGCTGGCGTTGTGTGTTCTTCTCGCCGTAATAGAGAACCGAAATGCAACATTCGAATCACTCCGACGGGTGATTACGTCGAAAACGATTTGTTTACCCGGCACTCGGTAATCTTCGCAGAGCCAGCTCTAATAACTCATCTTCTTCCTTACAGACGGCAGCGTAATCACGAGCGAGGTCCTCAAAGGTTACCAACCCAAGTTCATTGTGGGCTGCTACTTTCCGGCGGAATTCCAGGGCGAATTCGTGACGCAGGTGAGCGGAAAGGCTGCGGGCACGGAGGCGGACGAGCCACTTGAGTATACCGCCATTAACATCACCTTCAACGCGGTATCGACATGGGGCTACTGCCACAAGAGGGCCGGCGATAACGTGCTGTTAATGAACAGGTCAGTTAACTCGACGAATCGCGGACGGCGCGCTTCCTCCGTCGGGGAGAGGGCGTCGGTTTCGCTTAGCGGATAATTCGCGCACGTAATTAGAAAGATTATGCCCGCGAGGAGTCCTTGCAAGATGTATCGTTTAAGATTATGCCTCTCGAAGTCCGCCGCGAACGGTCGTCGTCGCGAAAGTTCACAGACGCGTAAAAGGCAGGAGCGCGCCGCCGTAAATATCGAAGTTTCTGATTTACCGAGATTTAGGAAAGGACGGGGTTGCCCTGAGCCGCCCGGAGGACGACGACACCGGGGCTTAGCGCGAGAATAACAGTGTATTCACAGAACGATGCACTTGCGACTAGGAACCGCGACTCTTGTCGCGTATGTAAATGCCGTTAAACGAGCCGCAGTCCGTGGGAGAGTCTTTGAAGAAAGACGCGATATTCGTCGGTGCGCGCGCGTTTTCCAGTGACCTTATACTCCTTTAGAATCTTCTCACATCCTTAATAACAACGCACGGAGCGCAAGCGCGCGATGCACCTCGAAGAATGCGTGTGTTTGAAACGCTGAGATCACAGCCCTCGAGTCGCGATATAATTTTGCCGGCTCAAGTAACCACCGAGAAATAAAATGTAAAGAATAGCAATGTAAGAGCGACACACAGCTCGAATTGTACTTCGCATCTGGAAGCTTGGCGAGAGGCCCAATCACGTGGTTGATTACGTTGTTCAAGTTTCGAGCGATTATTATTAATCTCCCAGCAGAGATTAAAAAATAATTGAAAACAAGAGTCGCCATTCTATCTTGCCTTTGTTCCTTTTTTTCTCCGCGTGATGTTTGCAAAAGTAATCTTTTTTCAAATATCGTATTTCAGTAAAAGAAACGTTACAATTTGCGAATTAATAAGATGAAAGTAACAAAATGTTTGCTGATAAGCTGCAAGCTCCAGTCGAGATGCATCGAGAGACAGTCTGAAGAGGACGCGGGCTTTTATCGCTTTCTATATAAGTCACCTCGAGTCTAGACTCGGGAGAATGTTGGCAGATCATCCGCGCGCAGAAAAGGACGAGCTTTTCCTGCCGAGGGGGCAGAATTCGCTGCCGCCGTCGACGACGACGACGACAATCATGAGGGGGGATTGTCGTCGCGGGAAATGGAAAGGGTGTGAAGGGGTTAAGGTTAAATTAGCCTGCCGATGTGTCTCCGGGGATGCCGCGACGTCTGCGACTCGTCTGGCACGAAAATAACCGGCTCTCCAGACATCGCCAGACGCAGACACTCGTGTCGCGAATATCGCGAACCCGGGCTAATTCCAGAAAGAGGGAGGGAGGCAAAGAGAGAAAGAGAGAAAAGGAGAGAGAGAGAGGGCGAGCCGTAAAACGAAAAATGGCGAAACGCCAGGTCCCCCTCGCACCCCAAATCGATGCAGCTTCCAGTATCGTCCCTTTATGTAGAGGGAAGGGAGAGGGAGAGGGAAAGAGCTCGTTCTCGTTGGATTACCGCGGGGATTATACGGATCGAGCGGCGGGTTTTATTTAAGCGAACACACCGGCTCATTGTTTCCGGGGAGGGCTCTTTTGTTCTTTATTAATTCGCGAGCGCCTCGATCGGACGAGATTTTCGCGCATTCTTCCGCGGCAACTCGAAATATCGCGACAGAGATTAAGTCGAAATATGCATTTTGGAAGGGGAAAATCAATATATTGGTGAACGAGAAGACGGAGGGGAAGAGTCGCCGCGTCGTCCCATCGGGACGATTTCACGGACGGCTTTCGACGCCGTTTTGCATCTTGCGGAGAATCCGAAGTTCGAGATCCCCGTCGCGCCAATCGATAGCTCCCCGACTCTGCATCTGGACTCGCGGAGCCATGTGGGTGTTGTCCGACCAAGTATGCATAAATTGGCGTACGCGTGAGAGTACCCACCCCACCTCCTCCTCTCTAGACACGGCGGTATATACTTCGCGATTCACGTTGAATCGTTAACGAGATATATCAATATTCCGAGAAATCATACGTCTGGCTGTCTCGTTATTATTATCGCCGTCGTCGTCGCCTTTACGTTCCGCAGAAATCCGCCTGAGAGATCGCGGAAAAATATCTCACGTGTCGCATTAAATTAATTTCTTTTTTCCTTTTTTTCTTCATGCAGAATCACGGAAGAAGAGACGCGAGAGAGATAATTTTGTTGATTCGGATCGTCTTATTCCGTCTCAAGTGCAATTTACATTTAATTTACCGCGAAAAATGCGTTCGTGTGATTGGCTTTACCCGACGATGGATACAATCACACGAAAAGAAGGAAAGATTTTGCATGATTTAACTGATTGTCCAGTGTGCCTTTTAGATGCGAACGAAAGTCTTGCGCGAAATGTTTCACACCTATCCCACCCGGAGCAACGACATCGTTTAAATGCGATCGACAATTATTATCCTTACCCCTCGGTGTCCTTCGTCGACACACGACATGATAGTCATTGACGCGTCTCCCCATAATTACAGCCGCGATTCATTCGCTTTTTCCACTTTTCGTCGCAGCGGCTTAATCCGCCAACGACACATCCGGTGGATTTATTACACCGGCCGGCGGGTCGACATCGCTTTGAATAATATGCAAATCACCGCGACGGCCATTACCGCGCGTAACACTGCGCAGAACTCGTCGTTAATCGCGCGGGATTTGATTGCGGGACTTAATTGCGTTGCACCTCTTCCCATTCTCTCCGAGTTTAGCGCTTCGATCGATCCGGGTCCGTCGATTTTTGCGCGGCCCGTTCGGCGTCGTTGCGCGTTATTTCAACGGACGCCTCTCGACGTTTTATCGCATTGCACGCGAGCCGGCCGGCCCGCGGCGATAATCGCGCGCGCGATGCGTAATAATTTGCCGGGGCGACAAGCGCGTAGCGCAGCCGAGAGAGTGGAGATTCGCGTAAATTGCATCTCCATACGCGCGCGGGTTTGCTCGCCCGCTCGCTCCCCGAGGATGATTCCGCGGGATGATCGCTCTATATTCTTCCTGTCGCCGCTCGCCGGGGAATTTCCGCCGGGAGAATCGAATATATATGTGTGTGTGTGTGTGTATCCCCGCGACGAAATACTGCGGGGCCGCTGCGTTTAATCCATTTGCGCATCTGCAAGGATAATGTGTTTGCGCGACGACCGCACATGCAGCTCATCTGGTCGGCCGGGATCGTCCGCTCGCGAGATGTTCGGACGATTATTAGCGATATTTAAGATTCCCCGCGAGAGTGATGACTTATGCGCACGTTGCTGCTGCTGTTAATTATAACCCGCGATTTGCATCTGAAATCCCGCGTGCACTTAACTGTGATACTCGTTACGAAGTGTAACAAGGGAGCGAGTCTCTCTCCGCCGTCGGGCGGTCTGAAAGGCAAGCGGGAGGATGGAGATCGCCTTCGTTCAGGAGACATTCGTCAGATAAAAATATGTTCCCCCGTCATTTCTGAGAGACCTAAGACGAGAGCTGTATTTATAGTCACGTTGCGGCTCAAAAGACAGCTCAAGACGTCCCCGAGTCCCCGTGGCGCCCGACGGTTCGACGGACGAATGATTGACAGTCGGTTCAATGATATTTGTGGCATCGCATTCGCGTGACACTATTGTCTCGTGTGAAGTAGTCACGATTCAAGTGAAAAGCTCGCAACTAATTCTAAATTCGAATATGGGCGCCTTTTACCTAAAGCAAGTTTCAAGTAACGATTATTGCCGACGAGCCTGACTCTCTCTCTCTCCCACTCTCTCCCTCCCTCCCCCTTTTCCCGACGACGTATTCCCTTACGACACCCACGGTGCTGTTAATTAAAACACCGTATTCGCCGTCGTCGTCCGTGCGACGTCCGCTCGTGATGAAGCGCGCGGTACAATCGCGCGCATATGCGTTTCGTGGCATAACAGTCGCTAAGCCCGAGTTGAAAAACGGCATCGGAAGAGAATATATCGTCGCCGAGGCTGCAAGCTCGCCGGCCCCACCTCCCGATCGGATAGAACAGAGGGCCCTGTTTCGCTGTCTCTCGCTTGCATACCATCTTCCACCATTAATCTCCGTGAAGACGGAGGAGTGACTGGCCGAAGGTGGTTTGGTGCCAGCCTCCTCCAGTTTACATGTATCCCACCTTCGTGTTCTAAACCCGTCGACGGCCGTTCTCCACGCTGAACGACGCGTCGCGCACCTCCTTAAGCCGGCTCCACACGGCTCATTTGTCACTCTAATTGTGAGACGCGGGGGCTCAGGATGCCGCCGGCGTCGTTGACAACTGAATCGGGTCATTAGTGAAATTACACGCGACTCGCAGAAAGTTACTTGCGAGAGAAGAGAGGAGAAAAAACGGAAAGAGAGAAAGAGAGAGAGAGAGAGGAGGAGCGAAAGAAAGAGGGATGGAAAAGATCACGGCCGTCTTCTTCATCGTCAATTCTCCATCGTGACACGCCGGCAGGCTGAGAGATTATTTATCAGATTTTTTCCTATTTCGAGGATATCTGCTCCATCATCCGCGCGCGTGTATCCGAGCGAGGATTCGCGCGAGACCGGCCTTGCGGTGCGTGCGACGCTATGTAAATTCGAGTCGAGTGCAATACGCATTTACATTTCGGGTCAGTAGGATATCGCGGCCGATGATGACAGCGGAGAGTGAACGCAAGTCCGATCGCGCGGTGTAATTTGGTAGACGGGAGGTGCGAAATTGCACAGCGACGTGTGGTTGCGAGAACTCGCTGTTAAGTGCGAACGTATCTGAAATAATAACGCGGTTGTGCAAGTCGCTAATTAATAATCGGAACGTTTCGAGCCATAGCACGTGGTCATCTTCGACTAGCAATAACATTCTATAAAATTACAAATTAAAAATGTATAGTCCATGTATATAAACGACATTGCAAGTTCGTCAAACATCCTTAATTTCGGCTTTGCCGTTCCCGATTTCCCGCTCAAGATGATTGAACATCAAAGAGCCTTGCTTACTTATTTAGGTGAATTTATGCACGTTGCTTTCTTATATCGCTTACTTATTTAGTGGATAAGTTTCATTCGCACGTTTCCCACTGACCTGCGACCCCGATAAACGTTACGGTTACGAGAGACCGGTACGAGGAATAGAGAATAATACTCAGCTGGTAAGCCATAACCGAGAGTAATAACGTCGTCGTCGACCTGTACACTGGACGTGTTTTCCGCTTTCTTGTCGCAAGCTCGCAGGCCCGTTCCGCTCATACCGCAGACTGACGTTCGGATTTGCGCGCGATCTAAATTGCACCTAGCGTTATGCGAATTCCAACTGGGTACAGGGGGAGGGGGGGAGGGGGCGCGTCTTAGGACGCACGACAGTCGTCGATAACTAGCCGAGATTAACGGACGTCTTCCGGATTCGGCGATCAGTCGGAAAGTTTAAAAAGACCGAAGCTGCGTGTCCCGATTCTCGGGTGTATCGCAATCCACCGAGTCGCCGAGCAACGTCGCCCTATTGGGAATAAGAAACTCGAAGGAAGGAACGGCGACCGTTAAGGGACGACCGGCGTGTGTCTCTCGGCGAATATTTCGAATTCAGACGAGAACGCTCGTTGCGCTCCGCGTGCGCGCGTTATGGAGAAAACCTATCTCGTGTAACATTCCAGTTGGCGAATATATATGTGTATATATATATATACCTGCAGGCTTCCCAGGCGGTGCTCTCGCGAAGCGTTTGCACGGGTGAGAGACCGGGGAGATCCTATATATGGCCGGGGGACTGGTGACCACCAGTAAGTGGGCCCACACGCTCGTTCCCACAAGTTGCATAATATCGGCGATAGCTATTGCCTCGGAGTTACAATTATACGCGCAGGCATGCGGTGACGTCGTAGACTCGCGTGCGCGCTTGCACCTCCGCCGTGTCGGTGGTACCGCACTGATTCCCGGTGTCGTTGCACCGTCCCACGTCTACCGTGCCTGTCGGAAGAAATGACAGGAATACCTATAACGTTAACTTGCGAGCGTAACTCTGCAAATATTCGTCCGAGGACGGTAGAGAAAAAATTAAAGAAACGAGAGGGAAATTGATCGATAAGTCGAGCGGAACTGGGCGAGATTCTGGATTTTGTTGGACAAAATCTACACCAGTCACGTTAAAAGTTATTACCATTGTAAATACCATTAAAAGTGTGTGCCATTGAAAGTCCGGATACGTCCGTATATTTTTACCCGACACTTTCCCGGCACCGGTCGCGATGGAAAAAAAGTTAGAATTTATTATTCACCTATATACATAATACCGAGCCGTATAACATTCCTCGACGTGCAACCCGTTATAACAGAAATGTATACCTTCAGATAACCCGACTATATAGTTACCCTAATAGCTCGCAATTATTTAAATAACATCTTTACCGTGACGGCGATTTCGTTGTGCGAACGCGGCACACACTGCACATACTCTCGGACAAATGACTCCTCCGCGACCACTGTCATTTTCGTAATCGTGTGTGAAAAGCGAAGTAGATACGGCCGTGATAGCGCGACGTGATATCAGCAACGCGCCTGTGTGACGCGGTTCCCATAGATCTTACGCAAAAGTCTCGCTTCCACCAAACGGATTTTCTCAGGTCGCTCGTAACGCGAGCCGACATTACAGCCACTCATCTCCTCTCGTCTCGTATTCCTCTCTTTCTCTGTCTTAATCCGCTTTTAACTTAAAAAGTCAATATTTCCAAAGAGCGACATTTCAACAGTAGCTTCAAAGTATCCACGTGATACTTCCGCCGTGGGTGGTAAAAAAATTAATAAGAACTCGTCGTTTTTTCCATTCAATTTTCCACGTTCTCTCTTTCTCTCCGTCGAAATTTATTGCGTCCTCAATTCCGCTTGCCTCACAATATCGTCGTCGCGTGTTGCCAGACCGAGTCGTTGGCATCGCGTGGAACAAGAGGGATCCTTGCTCGCTTCCATTTTTTTTCCTACTTGTCATTGTCCACTTCCTGTGGAGCAAGCCGAGTGTTAATTCACGAGGACTCGTCACGAGAGAGCGCTGGTATGTGCTCTAATCGGGACACTATCGTGCCGCTATTATACAACCATTAGTGTCCCCTTATGTCAGCGTTTCTTTATGCCGTGAGAAATTCGTAAATCCTTCGGAGATTAACGACACGAATGTACGACCACACATTTTACAACGGCCGGCTCAAGCGTCGAGAAGCCATTTACGCGACTCCTAAAAGCGTCATCCTATCACATTTGTTTCGTCATTTTTGCGGAGACGCGGCCATTTGACGATTACTCTTTCACGCCCACATGTGAGTACGCGACTTCTCCGCTTAAGGTATTAAGGCGACGGGCTTTCAGATTGAGAGAGTTTCAGGCCCTGAGGAACATAAAGACGATACTGACCTGAGGTAGCACATCAAACCCTGAGACTTCCAAGGTGCGCAACGTGCGATTCCAGCACGCTAATCAAAAACGAGGGAGCCGGGACTCTTTTATTATTTCTTACCCGCGCGATATTACCGGCGCGGGCATCGTCGTCTTAATGCTTTATAGTCGGCATTAACTGCGCTCCTGGGATATCGTTCTTACGATACTTTACAGCCCGCAGTTAAGTTTTTCCCCGGCCCGGTCCGACCCTTATTAATTTTCTAATTTCCCCTCCCTCCTTCCCCCTCCCTCAGGACAGGATTCGTCCGGCATAAATTCCGTAAGTAATATTACGTTTCCAGATACAATTATGGGTGTGCGAGGCAACGAGACCGGCGTATCGCGTTTACACAAAGTGTGTCTCGTATATTCGTGCCAACGTGTCTTAAAGCTAATCGTTCCACGATAAAAATATGGCTCAAAAATGTGGCCTCGTTTTTCGACTCGCACACAGTCGAAGCCGAAGAAGCTCCGGGGTTGCAGACTCGCAGAATCCCATTCTTCACTTAATTGCAAGAGCATTCTCTTATCTCGACGAGATCACGAGACGTAAAATATAAGACTTATAGATATCTATATTCGGATATTTCTCAAACTTTTAAGATTTCCTCACCGAGGAAATATTGGATCATAAAGTTGGGTTCGATTTCTGAGTTAAGTTTGATATTGATTTCATTCAATGTAGACTAATTATTCATAAACCATAGTTGGTCTGTGATACTTCTTCCAACGTTATCAATATTTATGACATCGTCTATTGAAAAGTGGACTCTCTGATTGACCTGGTGCCATCAAACAAAAGAAATTACGATTGTTCCTTTTGGTTTAATAATGTTGAAGGACAGAATACGAATCGTGTATTATAAGCAGCTATATTACATAATTATACATGCATGCTCAGCTTATGGGATTTGCTCGTTGCAGCGATGACGGCACGGATTGCTTACGATGTTTCCGGCTGGTGCGGAGGTCGCGGAACGTCATCGAGGTGTTCTCGGAAGCTGCCAACAGGTGTTACACGTCCGAGCCGGCCGCCTTGGCCTCCTGCGACACACTGAACTCCGCATCGATCCTATACCGTAAGTAGAAACCGGATGTTTCTCGATAATCGCGCGCACTCGCTCCGTAACAGAGACCGCGACGTGCGTGACGCTAAATATGAGGCATACTTATGATAATAGGCACAATCTCACAATCATTGGATCTCGCAGATGTGAAGCGATCTGTCCAGATAATTGCCTGTTCTCACGGTTAAGCGAGCCAGAATTATCGCTAATGTGAATCGATGCGAGTTTTTCTATATATATACCGAGTGAACCGCAACTTTTTCTGCGAAGTTTGTCTCGTGGAAGCGAAGAAATGTGGCGAGGTGAATGTGGAGCGGCCGTAGAAAGGTGCGCGCGAACGCTCGCAGAGAAACACTCATTAGCGATACGACAGCGCGAGTAATTTCGAGCCTCGAACTAGTAATATAACGCTAACGAATTGACTAATTTGAAATCACTCAATGAATTATGTGGTTCGCCAGACGCCAATTCCGTGTAGAAGTGTATTTAGTCGCCCTGAATCTAAAGCTAATATCTAACTGGTACAGATTAAATTTTCTAGCTCGTTGTCGGCTGATTATTCACTAAGAAACGTATAATCAGTTTTATAATCTAGCCGTTGTCTAGTCATTGCATGTCAAATATGACACGGTAAATTGCGCCGTTCATCCTAAAATATGCAATTTAGCTGCTACGTACCCGTGTAATTTCTTTTTTTGTTTAACCATCAGCTAACTTATTAATCTAGCTAATTATCTAGCCATTAGCAGGAGTGAGGTGTTACATTACTGGCTGGTAGAGACGTAGAACCAAATGTACCATCTTACAGTTAAACATCCACGAGATTCAATTTCTACTAGGGATGTTATTCCTATCCGATAGAATCGTCATATTACAACAGAGGGGCGTAGACCTGCACTGAGATGTTTGCACACAAAGTCATATCATTTTCGAACCTCCCACGAGAAATACATTGAGACATGCTCTAAGAGAACGCAACTTTGTGTGCAAAGACTTTCAATGCCGGTTTACGGTAGACGGTAAAATCTTCGGGAATGTGTATCATGTCCGTTCTCTTTTCTCTTCCGTCTGTTTGCAATTTCGCGTCCTTTCTCCGCGCGAAGAAAAGCACAACGAAGCAGTGCGGGCGCGCGTTTGTTCATTCGTACGTGGCGAATTAATTACACTTGCATTCTTACGCCCCTAGCGTATTATCGCACCCGAGGAATTCCGCGGGAATTCCGGCTTTTTATCGGATAAGCAAATTACGACGCGACCTCCGCCGACGGCGGCAGGGAAATATCAAGTTCGGCGTACTCTCCGGCGAATTAGTAGTCCTCAATAATTAGCGTTAATTGGCCGCGGGCTTCGGAGGAAGTGATGAAGCTTGCGTAACGACGGCCGGGAACAATAGGTGGGGGAGAGGCTGGCGAAACGCACGTCGCGTGCAAGAAACGCGTGCACGCGCGAATTTCTCACGCGCGTGTCAATTAAAACGCCTTTTAAAGATGATTGAGCATTTGCATAATCGCTCGCGCGTTACCTAGCTGACAGAGACTCAGCCGATGAATTCAAGCGATCTCGTCGACTTCCCCCTGGTGCGAGATACGTCGCGCCGGTTGCGAAGCTGTTCCAACGATACGACGCCGGAAGCGAATTCGGCCGCGTCGAATAAATTCCTCTTATCTCGAGCGGCGATGAAAGAACGGCGCTCGGTGATAATTGTCGGCCAACGAAGCGAGACCCCGTACGGTGTGGACTTAAGATAACCCGATATGAAATAATGTTTTCCTGTCGTCTCCTCGATAGCGGTAAATCGCGGGACTTTAACCCCACATTGAGGTGAGGCGGGGAGACGTGAGAAATCTCGTTTTCCAAACACGCCTGTGCAAAACTAGAGCAAGATTTCCGCGAAATTCTTACCCGGCGACTACACTTAGAGAAAGAATCAGCAATAATCGTTGCTAACGCAGCTGATGTCAATTTAATGAAAAAAAATATAGGTACGAATATATATATTAGCCAAATTTTTCATACATTCTTAAATCACATTTCTATGTATAATTAAAAAATTGTTTAAAAATATAGTTTAAAAACATACTAAATTCGACTACGGTAGCGAACCGTTAGCTGTCTCTATTTCAGTCAGATTTTAGTTCCTCTGGTTAATTCTTTCTCCGAGTATAATTAACGCGGATAATGCCGCCCGATAAGTCCCGCGCGAAGGTGCGTTCCGCCTATTGGAAGCTTGGAAACGATGAATAAGATGTTAAGTGTAACAGTAAAATCGTGCAGCAAGAATCGCTGTTGTTCGGATAATTATCGGGCTTCGGGTTTCAGCACTCGCATTCTCGGGCGCACGTCGCACGTTATTATTTTCGCACATTAACACACAGAAAACGCGTATCCGCCGCGCCGGCGCGTTGTTATTAGTTCCCTAATGAAGACCTCTGATGAGCATCGATCCCCTCGGCTTCCGGCACATTATCACGCGCGTTCACCTGTGCCGGGCTCCCGAGAAGCTGCACCTGTCGCCACGCGATCACGTCCGCCGGCGAGTCGAGCGACCGAGTCGATCTCCGTCCCGTAATCCCGGTTTCACGCTTTGATCCGTGTCGCTGCACGCGAGGCTTCACGGGAACCGAAAATCGCCGCGTCTGGTGGTGGTCCACGGCGGAAGAACGTAATCGAGCGTCCGTGCGTGGAGAAGAGTTTCAGTGCGAAGATCACGGCGCCCTGGGAGAATTTCAGGGAGGACGATTCGCCGCGTACGAAAAAAAAAAAGAAGAAGAGAAAACCGAGTCGACGATCGGCGGCAACCGCCGACGTGCCGAGAAAGAGGATTCGCATCCGGCGAATCGGAACTCCTCGCGAGGGCACATTGTTGCACCGCTCTCGATTCTCTTCGGTTCATCGAGCAGGTTAAAATCGATCGGAAAGAGGGACTACACTGTGATTCGCGATAAAAAAATAAGAAGAAGAAGAACGTGACGATATAATTTATGGGGGGAAGGGGGAATAATCTCTCGAATAGTACGAAGCTTTCAAGCGAAGAACGTCGAAGAACGTCCCGGAAGAACCAGAGAGATCCCGTCGAAACGAAAGACCCCGCATTCTCGTTCATTCTTCGCCGAGTCGTGTTCCATTCCTGCTTCCTTTTCTCTTCTTTTTCTCGACTGTGGTCGGCACCAGGAACCAGTATCGTCAGGTATTTCAACGGAAGCGTAGGAGTGGCTACCCCCGAAAAGTCCCTAATCGTCTTGCCGTGGAAGAAAGGGACACCACGATGGTCTCTAATAAAGAAGGAATATTATCGTACGCTTCGTCGTTTCGGCGAATTATACCGTGTTATTTGGACAGGGGAGATATCCGCTCGTCCCTAATTCGATAGAGAGGCCACTTCGGTTCCGCGATTCTCTTCCGTGAAATTACGGTGCACATTGTATAATTCTTTTCAGTCTTTACACACCAGTTGTGTCGCACGTGATTATTTCAGTTTGAGAGTGTAATCTAAATAATAATCTACCTACGAAACCGCAGAAAATGTTATAACAGAGCACATGGGGTTCACATATTTTTATTTGCTTCCTTTGAATTATATTTCCTTCGCTTTCTCTAAGTAATTCCTTGAATATTTCATTTGTTTCCTTCAAGTAATTTCTTTAAAATTATGATGAGGAGAGGGGGATAGGAAGAAAATTGCTTCAAAAGAAAAGGCGGGAAATTATTTGAAGAAAACTCCGTTACGACTCGTACATCGCTCCGTCTAGTTTTTCATCTATAGAGAGCTCTGTTTCTCATCATCTTCTCCCCGCGCCGCGGGACTTACTCAATCTGAGTTCAGACAGATTCGCAGTTCATGAAAGCCGAGGAAAAGCCGCGCTAGTTAAGAACTAACTCAATATCGCTTTTTCCGACGAGTCGCTTGTCCATCGGAGCGGTTTTGCGGGTCGACGCGCGAGGAAGCCGTGCAGTCAGGCGGCCGAGGATGAGGAAGAGAATCGCGTTCGTCCGTTCGTTTCGGTCGGCGATACGCCGCTCGGAATTACAGGGGCACGGCGAAAAGCCGGAGCGAGGAAAAACCGTAAAGTGGAGAACGGCGCCGCTCGCGACGACGAGAGGAAGAAGGTGGCAGAGAGGCGCTCTACCTCGCGCCACGCGAGGCACGGCAAATAAATTCTGCCGATAAGTGGACGACGGAGTTTACTTCCCCGGGCTTAAAACGGTTTGTTTAAACGTGCCCGGCTCTGTAATTATACGAATCGTAAATTGGCCTTGTTATCCGCGTTACGATACGGCACTGCCAAGACGTTTATCACGGGGAGATGATCCTCCGGTGGTACGGACAATGAGCAGATATAAAGGTACCAATTCATGAGACGCTCATTGCAGCGTTGAACGTGGTCACGTGGGTTTTAATCTCACGCCAGCGTCGAGGAAAGGAAGATTGGATTTTATTAGGTGTATAATAATTAATTCGGTGCCTCTAACTTTATCCAGTTCCAATTAGCATTTTAAATCTAAACGTTTCTCCATTCGGTTACGGTTTTAAAGAGCTGACATCTGTACTTACAAACCACCATGTAACATCGTAGAATGATCGAGTATCAGCAGGAAGAGGCACTTTAAAGGGCTCGATCGGTGGTCCGCTGTGGTGCTATGGTCGCAAACAGTAACATTTCGGGAAGCGGAATTCTCGACGTTTTACGTCTTACTTTGCGAAATACGCAGTCATTATTATCCTTTTGAAGAAGGGTAAAATGGAAGAAGGGAAGAATAACGGGGCGATAATACGTGCGCGCTTATGTGCGACTTGTTATTTTAGTCGGCCTGGGGATTCCAGCGACCTCGCTTTGAAGACATGCTTGTGTGGTCCTCGTTTGAAACGAAGGTTCAAATCGAGGCTTCTCGCGCCCAAAGAAATAATAATAAGGGCATTTTTTTTAATTTTCCAGGCGGGTTACGTTGATAAAAATATATCGCCGATTAAAATTTAAACGCGAATTTTGCGTATTATGATTTTTTTATCGAAGAAAAACGCTTCTGATACAAGACTTGATCCAGATTTCTGTTGAAAATCGAAATATTCTCTAAATTTCTTGGAGTTAAATTTCATCCGCTTCAAGAAATTTCGAGATAGAAGAATAATAAGAGTAAATATGAGATGTATTCAAAACATGGTTGCTTGAACATCTCTGATCAAACAAACAACTCTGATCGCATCAGGACCTCCTCGTGTCCGGTAAAGCGGGTCACTTTATAAACCTTCCGCATTATCAGCGCGAGGGAGGAAGGACGACGTGGGGCGATTCGACGACGGATGAAAAGTGTCGAGGCTCTCCTTAAATGAAAACGCGGTGTGGAATTTCAGCTATTTCCTGCTGATAGATCGCGTCTCATTGTAGCTGCGACGAAAACCGCGGACTATTTCGACAGGGCTTTTGTACCGGGCAGAGGTACCTGCGGATTTTATCCCCCGATGTCCCTGATCCCCGATTCATGAGAACCCGCGATCTCACCGAGTCGGGTCACGTTCAGACGTTCATTCTGACAAGAACCAGTTGGAACTACGGCTGATTCTTGAATTGGACTCGGCTCCGAATGTCGACGAGGATCGTACTTTATTAATTCATCCGGAGCTCGAGTCGTGAGCGACTCGACGTCTCGTTGAATACGTAAACTCCGTAATTGTACAAGCATGTTACAGCATGTTATAGCGTGCAATAACGTAGGATCTTAACATTTTAGATATTATATTGACTCTTATATCGCAAGAAGACGTCGTTCCTCTCGGATCACTGAAAGATCAGGCAAGCCGGTCAACCGGTCGTCTGCCGGTCAGACGGGGGAAGATCGAGCGAACGGCGAATTACGCTCGGCGATGATGATTTTCTGCCGCGACGCAAACATTCGTCGGATTCAACAAATGAATCGTTCTCTCGCTTTTACCTCGGCAGGGACGAAAGAGATCGGCGGGCAGGAGATTCGGAACGAGTTCTGCCCGATCGGCGGTCTGTATCACTTCAAGTACAGCGTTAACAACGGCTCGACGACGTCGTTGGAATGCAACACGTTCTTCTCCGACTTCAGTAACTGCCCGGACGGTTCGGTCTTGCGTTTAAGCTTCAAACGATGCTCCTTCGAGCAACGCGGTAGGTCTTCCTCTTCTTTCGTCTGCATTTCCTCGCTCTTTTTTGATATATAATTATCGTTGCACGCCGATCGATTATCGTTCTTCGGAACGATACGACGAGGCAGCTGAGAGCCCTCAGGGTGTCGAAATATATCATTTCAATCTCGTTCCAGCAGATCTTACATTGAACTGTTTGGGCAGCTGGTCTGGGCCAGGTGGTTCTAATTACCTTGCTCTTTGGGACAACGACACTACCGAAGGCCGACCTCGGTACAGATGTGGGGTACGTTGAAGTGCACCTTATCTAAGGAACAATAGAGAAAAATAATTGCACGTCTCCCTCACGTGCCGAATCACGCGATCTTGCATGCCCCGTTGGTAATTGTTCGGTGACATCACGCGGTGATTAAATTCGCGTCTTTCTGCATCTGTAGCTGTACCACGTTGATATAAAAAAGGGCAAGACTTATATGGCGTTCAGCAGTGACTCGAGCTGCACGCACAATTTGGATAATTCAACCAGCGGTTACGAAACTCTGATCCTGAGCAAGAGCCCGAATCAGAAGAAGGTGCCAAGTTACGTGAAGAACCATGTCGCCACGTGAGTACACCGTGCGAATCTCACGGGTTTAATAATCTCAGTTTCATTCGTAAGAATTTCTTAATAATTGTAATATTACATGTCGGTCAAATATCCGTGCAACGACACTTACCCAACCAACAGTTGTCTTCGACATTCGAATTTCGAATCTGCGAAGATTCGAAGCACCGGTATTCATTATTTGAGTCCCGAAAAAATCGAAGCTTTGAAATACTGGAATGATAACATTTTTTTTATTGTATAATGTCTGGATTATGTATTCTTTAAAGCTTCGAAATTTCGAAGATCACAGCCTTTGAAAACGAAGCTTCAAAATTATCGGAGATTAACTGTGATATGGAATACGGCAACAGTTCGATTTTCAATAGATAACATATATATCACTGATATTAGGTAACAATGTTGTTGATGTTCGGCTGCTAGAACGCGGTTAATATATTGGCAACGATCGAAAATAATCACACTGACTGTATCGGTGCGTTTTTAATCGAACAATAGATTCCCGAAGTGGGCACAAGGGCTGTGGGAGGAGTCTCTCATAGTCAATGGGACAATGACTTTCACGGATCTCAATGGCTACAACAGTTACACCTTCATCACGGTGGAGTCGGGCGAGGAGACCGGCCGTTACATCGTGTACTCCAAGGATCAGTGGTGAGCGATTAATTCGATTATCATATTGTACGACGTGCACGGATCTCTCGTCGCACGGAACAAAATAATAAGTTCCCGCCTTTTCCACCAGTGGCACGACGTTCTCCATATTCCGGAACGGCTGTTTGTTTATGCCGTATGACAGTGAAAGCTAAAAGTGAAACACGAACATTTTCTTTCTAATTTCAGCGAGCAGGACGCTTATGTGTGCTTAATGATGAGACAGCGCAGTGAAAACATACTGGAGTTTACAATAGGTAATTATTTCCTAGGTAGATCGGTCGTTCCTCATTGTAGCGTAATTTTCGCCAGTCGTGACTCCCCGACTGCCGTAATAATCCGCGAACTTAAAGATAACGTTGCTTGACAGGGATGGTCTTGAGTCCAGTTTATCAGAATTACTTGTGCGACGATCCGAATTTGGACAAACCGGTGTGGATGACTCAAGCACGTAAGTTGATGCACATGCTGCAATAACTTGGCAAGTTACCTATCCGGTAACTCCTTATATGCTTAATAATTATATACTTTTTTTTTATTTCGTAAAAAAGCGTTTTCCCGCCATTTTTCCGCGAATTTCTTCGGTTTCTGTTTCCCAAGAGTACAAAAATTTGTTTAGTAGAAAAATTCTCACGTGTATTCGGTTAGAACCTACCACATTTCCTTTTTTTCCGTAAAGAAGATAAGAAATTCAAAAAATCCACGGAAAGATGGGAAAAGAGCGAATTTTTCTCCGAAATTTTCAAACTATACTAATAATCTTTCTACGCATATAATTATTTGTGCTTAACATACAAATTGCTCTCAACAAGGTATCGAACGTGCGGTGGAGTCGCCCTGTCCAATTACGGGTCAGTATATGGGAAGGATAACGGATCTAATGGGAATGTGTGCCGAGTTAAGCAGCAACTGTAACACACGCGAAATAATGTACTTCCGAGTCAGTGATTGTGATTCCGGAGAGCTGTACGAAGGTACGTAACGATTGTTAAAAAACAAAGACATATGACAAATAATAAAACTATAAGAAGAGCCCCGGCGGAAATTTAATTTTATAATATATAGAAATAATTACATTTTCTCTCTCGTGCCATTTATTTAAGTCACTTGTGATTTGACCGTTTCTAGATACACACCTATTTCGGTTTTGTGTTTTAATAGAAACACAGCTGATTTTGTGGAACTCTAAATGACAAACATCTCTTTCCTCGGGTGATTTCGGAGTTTGTTAATGTTCGCACCATGTTTTCAGAACGAACATATCTGTGTTTGGGCCAGTGGGAGGAGAGAGGTGTGATGTATACCTACACTATGAGAAACGACACTAACACAAATGAGTGTTTCGTAGGCCTGATCGTCAGCGACGAGGAGATATATATCAAGGAAGCTGGCGATCATTGCATGCGAAATATAGATCCTAAGACGCAGGGAATGCGTCTCTATAAGAAAGGTAAATAACCTTGCGAAGTGTTGAGTGCCAGCCAAAAAATTCGACTTTTCAGTCAAATTTGAAAATCTTTGAAAAGTTCGGTTGAAAATATGACTCGAATACGTTTTCTTAGTTTCTTTCCTTCCGATTGTTAAAGCGATTTGTACATGTGTGATAATATTATTTAAGGGCAATGTTACGGGAATTCTCCGAGTCCCGCGCCAACGCCGTTAAGACCGATACCTCACAATCCGGTAATGAGGATTACGACGACCCCACCGTCGAGAGCACAAGGTAACAATCGCAAGGATCTTATCCTTCGTTACCTCATTTCCCTAATTTCCTCGATAAAAATCTAAATACGTTTTGCTTATTCTTGACTATGTTCTGTCTAAGCCTTGACACTTATTGCCATGTTATATCACTTCACAGTTAATTAAGATCGCTGTCATTGTGGTATTAATTGCGAAATTTCATGTTTTCGTCGACAGGAAACACCAAAGTGCCAGGCAATGCAGTCTCCTCGTCGTCCTCCTGCAGATCGAGCGCGTACACGAGTTTTGCGCTCCTCTTCACTATGCTCGTCGCGCGCCTCAAGGCAGCCTCGTACACGTTCGAATAATGAACGCCTTCATTCGAATTCGATAATGAGCTAGTTAATGAATATCGGCACTTGGATGCACGCACTGCGTTCCGCTCTTCTCATCTAGCGAACACGATCGAGACATAGATAGGCAGGTTATTTATTAGAAGAAAAAAAACGACCTAAAGCGATACCGTAGAACGCGGAGGAAACTTATATGCATCCTGCATTTTTTTATCCTGCACATCGTTCCGCCCACGTTTCGCGAAAAATCTGCTTTTCCGTGCAACCGTAAAGTGAAGAGAAAGTTTCACCCTCGTCCCTTCGGTCGAGCTGCCAAATTTTGACGGCGGCGAATCTGTGATTGATCATGACTCCTTACTGAATGAATTAGTGCTGTTTAAGGAGCTCCAGTGGATGGAAACGGGTCAGATCTTCACAGTCGCATTTTATGCACTGCCTTGTAATATACAGACGCTCGGACCGAGACTGTGCACCGTTGCGAAAATCCAAAGAAACAGTCGCCCGCGATGCGACCTACGGCGAATCCATTGTCTATACACGCAGACGAATAGTGATCCTTTCGCTGATGAACCAACATCACAAAATAGAAATGACGCGACATAAGAGTATAAAAGGGACTGAAGGTATTGTTTTGCAAATGATATCGCAGTGTAATGGATGTGCATTCAAATTTATCTTCGAAAGATAAGGAACTGTATGTGAAATTTTGATCACTGACGTTACAAATTTCTCGTTCGACGTGCAAATTTCTCGTTCAATTTTTGAAACAAAACCTGTCAGATACCTCCTATACTGTTTAAGGTCGACAGTGATATCTCTCATATGATAATGAAAGTAAAATAGCGTCTCTTGAACGTCCGTAAAGCAATAAGCCATAATAGACAGAATATAAGCTTGACATAAAAGGATAAAATATAAATTACACACAGTTGCATAAGACTGATACAAAGTTATTTTTTAATACAATTCAACTTGTAGTTTGCTTCTCTCCATTAGATAAATTGCTCTGAAGAAATTCGCGTGCTCTCACGCAAGTATGAGAAGTATCTCCGCGAAAAAAAAAGACACATATCAATGGATACTAAGCTCCGTAAAGTAAAATGATAATATCAAAAGATCTGTGAGAGGAAAGGAAAGAGAGAAAATAAGTTAGTAATATGCGCAAAGTGTCTTCGTACTTTGTAAATTTGAAATATATCTCATCCTATTTACGTACGACGTGTGAGAAACGAGCACTCTCTTGAAAATATATATTAATATATATGAAAAAAAAAATTAACGAAACTTATAACGGAATTTAGCACTCTCTTGAAAATATATATTAATATATATGAAAAAAAAAAAAATTAACGAAACTTATAAGATTATCAAAAGATGAGAAAAGTGAATTTCGCTATCAATTTGTAAAACAACTCCAAACGGAAAGAACGTTTCTTCGTACACTATAAAACACGGATTAAGTTTAGTATTAAACAAAAATGTAATATTTACCGCAAACGCGCAAGGTTGATACCAAATTTACAAATCTGTGTTATACGTGGTTCTAGCTTACTGTCGTATTTAATGTAATAATGTGACAAAATGGAGATAGGTGTGTATGTATATACATGTGCAAACTCGTCGATTATTTATTAGTGTATAATACCGGTAGTGTGTAACAAATTTAATTAAATATACGTTTATTATTTTCGTTTATAGCTACGAATTGTACAGAAAATTTATAGAGTGATCTAGACTTAATACTAAAAATCTGATTTCGCGTCTTTATTTACGCAGTTCGCGATTATTTAGCTTATATTTAACATAAATAATAATGAACAGAGTTCTTTTACTTCGATGTGTCAATTGCGAGTGTACAGTTGTATAAAAGAGACGGATATGCAATAGTGAAATGCGCGAGTCACAAAATTCAGATTGTTTAGGATAAAATTAAGGGATAAATCACGATAAATTTGGCAAATCTTAGGAAGTGTATTCCGATGTATCAGAGATATCATCATCTGAGAATATGAATTGCCATCAGAAAAAGATATAGTTCGCATATAACGAAGAGATCGATCTTTTTATTTTTTTATAACTGCATCCACCATGCAATCACGAAAGTATCCAACTTCGGCCAGATTATGTAGCCAACAGATTCAAATAATGTAAATATATGCGACAATAACTGACATTCTAACACATTGCGATCCATGGTCCGTACTAAATCATTCAACTGTCCGAGCAAATCCAATCTATAGTACGTACTGAGAATCATATTGAGTGCAGATATAAAAATAATTGTTAAAATTAAAATGTACGTCCAATCACGTATATATCTGTATCTTAATAAAATTCGTCGTTGCCAAATAGTAACAGCAAAGAGCTGGTGATGAATCACAACAATGTAACAATCAGCTGCATTCAGAAGTCAGCACTATATTAGTGCTATATCACGTTCAACTTACTATGCGTATTCTTATTGTGCTATAAAAAACAGTGATTGCTTAGCAAATATATGAAAGAAAAACGAAACTGTTGTATAGGATTTATGTTGTCAATGGACCGTATACTTCTTCTTCTTCTCCATCATCATCATCATCATCATCCATCATCATCATCATCATCATCATCATCCCAATTGGCTAAGTGTCATCAATGGGCCGCAATGTGTTAACGAGTGTTTGAAATCAAGTGAGAGATCTTCAGAACGCTTGGTCACTATATTTTTAATGTACTAACAAAATTTTGTACTTTTACATGACTCAGTATGTATGTGACAGAAATAAACATTTATCACATATGCGTGAATAAAATTTGTTCGACACAAAGCTAAATAAAAAAAAAAAACCTTTCTTTGTATAAAACGGGTATTCTACAATGAGAAAGCTCTAAGCTTTAAAAAATTGATCAATCATAGTCGAATGTGAGAAGAATAATCGACTATGATTGGTCAATTTTTTAAGGCTTAGAGCTTAAAGCACCTATTGTAAGTCGGGACTGCAAATATGCATACGAACATTTATATTATATAAGTGAGCATAAGTAGTTATTTTTATATTATGATAAGATAGTTTGGCATTTTGTTTGGTGTATCTTTGTCATGAAAAACCAATATAAATATAAATTCAAACAACAGCATGATCCTCACAATCTCCAACCACATCTCCAACCACTAAGCCTCTCTCATACCTCAGGATAGCTTGCTTACGCTCTACTCCCCATGCATATTTGTCACTGTCTGCTTTTTTATTTGTCACACGATGGCATGGCACGATATACGCGACACGATTTTTAGAAATTGCGTTCCCTACTGGCCGTATAGCTTTGGGATTGTCAATCGTCTTTGCAACCTCCTCATATGTGATACATTCTCCCTTAGGAATAGTCATCAAAGACTTCCACACCTGTACTTGAAACAACGTTCCCCTCAGGAGGACGCAGAGAGAATCGAGCGAAGCCTCGTCAGACTGAAAGACTTTCTCGATTATACTTTTCGTCTCTCTTCCAGTGTCCTCTGATAGTTGAGAGAGCGGCCATTCATTCTGCAGAATCTTCAGAGCGCGTTCCTCGACGCCGTCGACGAATCCAAAGTATACCACAGCCTTGTCCATGTCGGTTATGGCGATGAGACACTTACCGAAGGGCGTCGGATAGAACGCGTACAACAGCCGGAACGTCGATTGATCCATCTTGTACTCGTCTGATGTCATGCTTCGAAATTTGACCATGATGATGAAGCAGTCAGAATACGCCAGATATAGATGTGACTCGGTGAAAAACGTCAAATCTACTTCCGCAGAGTAAAGCTGAAGCACCAGACAACACCTAAAAGTTGGTGGATTTTGTACATCATACTCTTGAGCACGTGACGATTCTGCATACGCCAATATTCACGTTGTCTTATATATATATATATATATATTCGCACTCACCAATATTTTACTTCAAATTGTTGTGAAAACAACGGTCCAACTACAAGCCAGCATCTGACACCACGAAAGTACTTCTATCAAAAGATTCGTTTATTTGATAAATGGAGGGAAACGCACTCCGGACATTGAGTTCTATAATTGGCTGCGTTCAAAGAACAGTGGAATAATTGATCAGTTATTGGTCTAAATTTGGGAATCTAATTTCAAATGCTGTACGGTTCGTTTCATTGGCTACGAAACAATTAAAGATGATTTAAGATGATCTTAAGCCTGGTCTACAATAGATGCTTTGAACTGTAAGCCTTAAGAAATTGACCAATCACAGTCAAATATGACGAGAATAATCGACTGTGATTGGTCAATTTTTTAAGATTTAGAATTTAAAGCACCTATTGTAGGTCAGAATTTAAATATAAGATCCGACTATGAATACCGGCCTTAAGAAGAGTCTATAATGAAAATCTAAGGCTTAGAGTTTAAATTCTCATTGTAGACCTCGCTTTAGTCTCTCCAATAAGAGTTTAGATATAAAAGCTATTTCTTATTGGTCCGCTATTTTTTGTCAACTCCCGCCGATATTCGAATTCCTATATTAGTGTTATTTTTTAATTTAAACAATACATTTAAAGAATGCACATTTTAACGTCTTATGTCCCAATTTTTTTTTAGGTTCTGTTCTGTCAAAGATGATTTAACACAGTCGTTATCGTCATTCACCGACAAATCGTCTGATATACGTTATATATTTTTCATTTTTTCCATGTAACAATGTAAAACAAGCTTAATTTATGTGAACATAAAATGAAAAATGTCCGCTATTTCATGTACGTCGGTATCTCATGATAATTGGTGCGTTGTGTAAACATGTGTGACACATGATACCGAATTCATTTAGAAAATCCTTTAAGAAATATTTAATGTTACAATGATGAAGTCTTGACGTGCTGAATTAGTCAGAAAATCAATCATACATACAAGTTGATTCGCTAAATCGAACTCTGCACAGACAAAATGTCGAACGTTAATGTTGATGAATGTATAAGTATAATTAATATACTAAAAATTAATAATATACTTAACATTTTAACATTAATAATATTAATATATAATATTATTAATAATATTAATGTATAATATTATTCATGTTAAAATGTTGAGTATATTATTAATTTTTAGTATATTAATTATACTTATACATTCATCAACATTAACGTTCGACATTTTGTCTGTGCAGAGTTCGATTTAGCGAATCAACTTGTATGTATGATTGATTTTCTGACTAATTCAGCACGTCAAGACTTCATCATTGTAACATTAAATATTTCTTAAAGGATTTTCTAAANGATGGATAAAAAAATATATTGATACTGATTTCAGATGTTATATTATATATTATATAATATATAATATAATATTAATTAATAATATACTTAACATTTTAACATTATTACATACAGTATTTTATATAATGAAAATGGCATTTTTTAGCGAAACCCACGATGAACACACGATGACTAATAGAAAAATGTCCAAAGTCGCTTATAAAGAAAACTAATTTGTTTCAGGACATTAAGAGAAAAACATTTCTTATAAAAAATACAATATACTTAAAGGATACACGTCACAAGACTCGGTGGGTCTATTTAACAATAT